GTCTTTAGTCCCTTTTAGATAATCATTGTCATTGCGACAAGAATTTTTCCGAGATAATATTGAAACAGCAACTGCAATATATGAACGTGTATTGTTAAAGATATACATCGGTGATCCGAAACTATAGTCTTCCCTGCCTTACCCCTCGGCAAACAATGTCATACATTCCCCACTAAAAAATAGTTGTTTTTTATAAAAACAACAAACTGGGATTCAGTCTGACTATTTTGCAAAAACAAAATACAAATGGTATCCCAAATAAACCGCCAACACTACTGAAGTTGTAGACGCAGGCACAGTCAAACTGTTTGGTTTGTTGTTGTATACTAGCAACACCAACAAAGTCGTTGTGTGCATGTGTCGCGATGTGACAACACATAACAGTGGTAAAGGTATGGAATTGTTTGTAAATGCCTTGTTAACCTCGAAGTGAGGCACCGGCGAAAATTCTAATGAAGTTTATGTCGTTGGTCAGCTAAGTACTTCGCTTTTTTACAAGAGACATTTGGGTATGAAAAGGTTTTTTGTATAGAAGCAATAGCTTCTGGGGAGAATATCCCAAAACAAAATATTTATGTTTAACTTTGAAGACCAATTTGCAGCCGACCAATTTGCCATCACGTGGCAACTCCGCCAATTACCGGAAGCGAGAATAATTCTCCGGCCTTCTTGCTGAAGTTTGAGAAAGGCACGTTTTATCATTGCTAGACAATTCATGTACATGTCAATCCTCAGACGATTCGAAAAAGAAAATACATTTCCAAAAAAATTTTTCCACGTTTGCCCATTTTTGCTTAATTTGGAACTTGTAACTTCTTCAATTTAATTTATTAAGCAAAGAAACAAAGCCAAATTGGCCATCTAAGTTACAAAAAATAGCATAACTTATACTACTCGAGAAACTTATACCTAGAATAAAGTAACATAGCATAACAAATTCAATTGTTTTTTCTTAATAAAAATTTTACATAAAGCTACTCCTAAGATAAAGATATATACATCTTCCTTCGAAGCCCAAAGCTTATAACACATTTTCAAATATAATATCCGAAAGTCTAATGTAAGTGTTTAGAGGAGTGGAAGGCATGATCACAAATTTTCTATAAATCGCACAAACACGAGAAAATATTCAAAATAACTGTTGGTCAAGAAAAAAAACTATTTGTTTCTATTAAACTATTTCAAACTGATTGAAACCTAAAGTTTTTGCATTAAAAAAAACCGACGACAAAACTTGATCGCTGCGAAAAATTAATTTCCTCCCAAAAAAGCATCCAATCCCCAAAAAGCTCGCGTTCGGTTCGAATCAGTGTTGCCAATTTAGCACTTTTAGTGCTAGATTTAGCACTTTTTAAACTCGTTTAGCACCAAAAAAATCGCTCTAGCACCTAGCACTTTTTTTAGCATTTTTAATTTGTTCCAAGATTTTTTCAAATTTTTTAGTATCACTTCAAAAAATTGTAGTTTTTCGACTTCACATTGACGTTTCTGTATGTTTTATATAGTGGATTTGATTTTCCAATGTTTTTTCCAGTGATTGGAGCAATATAGTCGGACGGGGCTATCCATATGATGATATGAAACTACCACAACTACCATGTCGGTGAAAAATTCTGCGAGTTATCCACCTCCTGGGTTATAATTATACTACAATATCAGAACATAACAAGTAAACATGATTTTAAGTTTGGCCCGTCCGAACTTTTTATATCCTCCACCATGAGGATGAAAATCAAAATGTCTAAAATTAATGGGGCCTCCTAGGAGAAAACTCATGTTATGATAGAACCCTGAACATACCGAAAATACGTGGTAAACATATACTGAAATTCTCAAAACATTAAATAGTGGGGCTATAATAAAAAAGAGATCAATATTGATAGTTTTGGTAGTAAGATTTGGCAGCCAATGAGAATACAAAGTACCAAATTACAGCCAATTCGGCTGAAAAACTTGTCTAAAATTCTCAAAATATAAACTTGGGTCAATATTAAAAAGTTTTAGTGCGGTGATACCGTTATGAGAACCCAAAATACAAAATTACATCCAATTTAATCGAAAAACGTGTAAAAATCCCCATATTGGCAGGTACAATATAAAGCCGGGTATGCCTTAATCGATATAGAATTTTATTTTAATTTTATTTCCCGTATTTGTTGTGTTATTGGTGCTCGGGATACAAAGGCGGCATCAAAAAAAAAAAAAAAAAACAGTGAGCGGAGCAGTATAGTCGGACGGGGCCGACCTACACACCTACCACGGAACTCTAACATTCTGCGGATTTTTATTCCGAGCCTAGGCAACATTTCGTGATAGTTGCACCCTCTTGCTCGATTAGAGGTATACAGCACCTCTTCCTTACACTGACATATTTTCCGAATATTACTAATATTCAATACAGTCCTTCTAATTACTTGTCTATATTCTCTTCAACCTGGGTTGTGTGTAATGTTCGAAAAAATCCGAAAAAGTTTAGTTTTCGGTCCACTTCATCCCAAAATTATTATCGGGTCGTCACCGAAAATTATAGGCATTGTCCTTGGCCATAACTGGGACCTCATGGAACATTTCAAAGCGATCAGCGCTATATTTCCGCCCTCTAGTGTGGTAATGGTTTACTAAATAATATCTGAATATGTAAGCAGCTGAAAATATTTAATTGGTATCAATTTAAAGGCCAACCACTCTTCTTGGATATACTATCAACTCATCGGCTCTATGTCATTCAGGAGTAAATATATACGTCATACAATACAATTTTTTTCATTTTTTTTAAACCGACCGATCAAAAACAATAGGGGTATTCATTGGGCCGAACCCATCCTACATGCAAAATTTCGTGAAGATTGGTCCATAACTGTGGCCTGTATGGTGTTTACAAATTATAATGGACAGGCGGAGGGACAGCTAGTCGAAATATGACGATCGGTATAATTAAAGGTGGGTCTAGGACCAATATTTCGCGGCGTTACAAACTCTTGTAGGGTATAAAAACATGACGATCCGTACACTAAAATGAGCGTCCAGGACCAATATTTCGTGACGTTACAAGCTGTTGTAACACAAACACTCATAACATCCCCACCAAATATAAAATATAATCAAATTTCTTTATATTCATTTTTAGCACTATTTTCTGGCACTTTTCTAAAATTTTTAGCACTTTTTAGCATATTTTTCAACAAAATCTAGCACTTTTTCTCAATCAAGTTTTGGCAACAATGGTTCGAATGGACCAAAATGTAAAGGAGCCGAAATTGCGTTTCGAAAAAGGGTATAAAAATAAAACACGAAAGTTTTAATTTCTGATTCCAGAATGTATTGAATATAAAATGAAACATAAAAATAAAATATCAATGCTCAAAAGTGACATTGACGCAAAAACAATACTCATTAGAATGCTTACAGTTCAATAGATGCATACTATGCATACAAAAACGATTCTGTATTCTTGTTGTAATTTTTTTTAGCTACTAGCCGATTCTTGCCCGTAATGAGTCAAATTGAATACATTTTTTAACAGCGTATTTACCAATATTCTCTTATTTTCGTATTGCTGTCTTAGGCAATCACAAAACCTTCAGCAGTTAGGGAATGTGAGGACTGATTTCTCTAGCTTCACTGCCCGTCATTTGAAATAGATGGTAAAACTTTTCAAAAGAGCTAAGCTGACTTTTGATTAAAGGAGCTTGGTACAACCTTAATTGTGCCTTTTCAGTCCCCCAGAATATTCATACATCTAACATAGCTCTCATGATCAAATTTCTTTTTTATGTTAAGTACCTTCTTATTCTTTTTACTGCGTTGGGGATCAGCAGTACGATGTTCGTATGAACAATTCCATTCGGACCATATACATTGGATGTCAACCAGCTCGGGTACAATTGCCCTTATATGGGGGCTATGCCTAAACGTGGACCGATATAGCCCATCTTTGAACTTGACCTGCTGAACTTGAAATAGACCTATATAAGCCTTCAATTAGACATAGCACCACATATTATGATAACTACAAATGTTCGGTAAATCCTACACGATATAATCAACATTGGTTCCGCTATAGGTATATATCTGGAGCTACCGGAGGAGAGAGCAAATGTGTCCCTACTTCGGACTTGATATATTAATTGATCCATTCGCATGATATTGGATTTATAAATATTAAAAATGTTCACACTTTGAGGACAGGTACCTGAATTAGTGGATGAATAGGTCCCACCTTCAAACTAGGTTCGAATCAGACATTTCATTCGCATACTATTGGATTTATAAATGTTGAACATTTTGACCTTTTGTAGGGGAGGTACCAAAAGGATTGGTCCAATGGGTCCCATCTTCATATTTGACCTAGGATTGGTTAAGATAATAGGTTGTACAAAGTTAATTAATTTTTTGCACAATTTTGACCATTTTGTGTGGGAGGTACCAGAAGTAGTGGACTATCGGTGTTGTATTGGTGTCATATGTATACACATCAGATGTGTAGTTTTGGAGAACCGCTATTTGGATATTTCATGGAAAGCCGTGAGGTACCAAAAGGATTGGTCTAATGGGTCCCATCTTCCTATTTGACCTAGGATTGGTTAAGATAATAGGTTGTACAAAGTTAATTAATTTTTTGCACAATTTTGACCATTTTGTGTGGGAGGTACCAGAAGTGGTGGACTATCGGTGTTGTATTGGTGTCATATGTATACACATCAGATGTGTAGTCTTGGAGAACCGCTATTTGGATATTTCATGGAAAGCCGTGACAGGCTGTGATGAAAATTTCTTCCTTGAGATCCAGGTAACTTCATTATTCCACATTCCAGTATATGCAAGAGTGCTGCATGTAAAAACACAAAAAACCATTAAATGTTTTGGAATCCAACAACAATTACGTTAGAACAATATTTATTTAAGAAACTGCATAGTTTCTATTGCACTGTTATAGATAAGTTCGATTGTAATTATTTTGAACTTTGTTAATTTTATTTTCATCCCACTTATCTTTACAGAAGCCAGTCATTCAAGGAGGACGACGGAACATGGAAGGGAAACGATGATGGAAAAGTCGTAAATAATCAGCCACAACGGGTAATGGATGATAGAAATGGAATGATGGCACAAGCGGGATACATCGGAAGGTAAGAATTTTGTGTGTTATGTTTATGTTTTGTTTATCATGAACTGCTTTACAGCCTGTTTTTGTAAAAGTCTAAACGAACGAATTCGAGTGACTTACGACCAAACTCCTTGGTTTTGAAAAATATGTCATTTATTTTTGTTTTGAATCAATAAAGGGTTGATAGTAATTCGTTCGAATTGTTTTGTTTCGAATTTTACAAAAACAGGCTGTTAAAGTAAGCTATTAGAATAATACATTATTAAAAGAACATTAACAGCCTGTTTTTCTATTTCGAACGAAAATCAATGCGAAAGTAACTTACTCACTTTCGTTTAAAAAAGCGTTCATGTATTTCGAAAGCTATCGTTCAATAAATGAGGGTCAAATGGGAAATAAGAACAAACTACACAAATACAATAACATATTTGAACAAAACAAAATTGTCAAATGAAAATTTTCAGTACAATTTTATTTTCTAAAAATATGAATGAAAAATCCTAGCGATACCTATAAAACCTGTTCCAAAAATTTTTATTTTGTATAGAGATTGTGTTGTGCTTCAAATTTGGGTACATAGTTTGCGATTTTGCAATTCATTCGAAAGCTATAAAGCAAGTGAGTGAATTTGACGTTCTCGTTTCCATGATGCCAGCTTTTTCGTCATACATAAACCCAATTTGTAAAGAAAAAATATACGTTTACGTTTTCTTTCGAATTGTTTATCGTTTCACTTCTTTTGCCTGTAAAAAGTTTTTATATGAACCAAAATTGATTGTCATTCGCATTGAAAGCAAAAGAAACCTTTCTTTCGAAATACATAAACAGGCTATAAGTGTAATACACTGCGTGTCATCACTATAGAAACACCTTTAATTCAATTGGTATGTTAGTTGACAAATAAAATGGATCCATTAAGTTATAGTTCACAATAAAACGACCAAAAACACATATTATTCAATAAAAATAATTAATTTGTTCCTTATTGTTTCGCCGAATTCTGCACTTTCAAAATTACTGGTGTTGCATAACTATAGACGCACTTTTACAAAGTTGTATAAATTTATTTTTTTAAACTTAAATACAATAATTTTAATCAGTAATGGGTAGAGCCCCATTTTTTTTAAATATGTTAAAAAATTCTATCAATCATACTGCCTATCAATTTTTTTCGGAAATTTTCATCGATTGACCGCCATTCATTGTTTTTAACCTCAAAGAAGTAACTTAGGTTAGAAACAGTTTGGAATTGGCGGTTTTCCGCATACACACGACGAGTCAAGATTCCACACATATTCTCAATCGGATTCTGGTCGGAAATTTTAATATTTTTTTTTATTTTAACCATACTTGAATACGTCGACCTTTATGAACTGGCGCGTTGTCCTGCTGAAAACCGAGTCCTTCATTGGTGCTGCTTTCCCAAAATGGCAATAATTTGTCTTCCAAGACTTGAACGTGCTCCATTGAATTCATCTGACAACTAGGAAATGTCAAATAAAGCTCTCCGTGGCTATAAAATGCTCCCAAGACAATTAAGGAACCACCACCGAATCGTTCATTTGAACGAGTTCGTTCGTGAACTGTACTATGTTTACATTTTTTTAATTTAGTTCCATGTTATTACAGGAACACCAATGAGAAGGAGTCTAAATCATCTTGAAGTTAAGTTGACAAACATTTAGATCTATGTGAGAAGAAAATTTAATTGAATATGGCAGATCACTCATAAATAGGAAGCTCTCACCGTACATCACTAGTTTCGATACATGGGTATCGAATATCGAAATAAATAACTGTCACAAAGATTGAAATTTCTAGCTAATAAACTTATTTAGATGCACGTTTTTTTTGTATTTTTCCAGATGTTTTTGTAATATTTCCATTCCATTTCCTAAGTATTTCGTGTATAAAACTTTTCACATTTTAAGACAATATTATTAAAAAGTGGTTAATTATTATTACAGAAATATTTAAAAATATAATGTTTTTCAAGACTGGTAGAAAAAAATGAAAAAAACTATAACAATTACATTCGGGGTAGATTCGGCATTTTAAAGTGGGGCACATTCGGGCATATACAGATAGTGCAATATTATTTCCTAAAAATGTTTTTGAATCTGTTTTTAAAAATAATCCTTTAATATGGTTCGAAATTATATATATAAGACGGAATATGTATAAGACGAAACAATATTTTTAAGGGTGTGTGCGACCTTGAGATTTCAACGTCCGCTGCTAGAAAACATAGCCCTAAAATTCAAACATTGGGTCGCGTATTAAAACCAAATTGAGCCTTTAGAGGATCTGAATTTCAACCAGACTGATAGCGATGATAATTACCAGGCTATGACTATTGTGCCGAATGTGTCCCATCAAATGACGAAGCTACCCCGGGTTGGGGCACATTCGGCAAATTGGACTTTTTTTTACAAAATTGTAAAAAAATTTAATTAATACTAATTTTTTATATCCTTTTGGTACTAATTTTTATAATTATGTGCCAGAGGACAATAGTCAGCCATAAAGTTTGAATAAGTACTGTTTGAATAAGTACGTTTAAATAAGTACGAAGGTGCCCCAGTCTCCCCTACTTTATTTAGCTATTCCTCTATAGTTTGATACAAATGATTTTTTCCAAAGTGGTTAATGGAATGAATAAGGAATTTGAACATGATTCTAGGATATTACTAGGTATGCCGTCAGGACCAGGACTGTATGTTGTCTTTATACGTCGTAAACTATTGAGTAGTATCAAAGTAAGGTTGGGTCAGTAGTGTCAATAAATGAAGTATATTATGAGTTTAAATTGGATGGTTTATTGGAATACGTAGAAGGAAGGAATGTTGCAAAGCAATGAGCAATCTTTTGGTTTTTCCTAAATTTTAATCCCTCAACTTTAAGTAACATCGGTTTTGTTGAACATTTTCGTTTTATGTTAACATAATCATAAATGTATTTCGGATTGGATTTGAGTCCAATTTTCACCTTTTCTAAATAGGAGCTATATGCGTCACGAGATAGAAGAGTAAACCTAGATCTGGAGTTTTTCATTGCAATTGAATGGATAACACAAATTTTAAGGGCGGTTTCCAACAAAAAAATCAAGATCCGAACCATTTTAAAATGGTGAATTTATTTAAGGTATCGAATATCAAATACAAACCCAAAACATTTTTCACTTTTTTGAAATAACTAAAAATAAGGAATTGTATTTTATACGCAGCTCGTTTTAAAATACACAATGATGTTAAAAACAAACTTCAAAATATTGTTATTATTAAATTAATTTTTAGCATGTCCACCGCTATTTTAGGTAACAGATAGAATACGGTTTGACATAGAGTATTCTAAATTTTGGACAGTATTTATGCTACTATCTAACCAGCATTCTTTCACAGCATATTTAAGGTAATTTACAAAAGAAAACAAGCTTTGCCACAGGAATCTCATATGCGTTTTCAATAGGATTACAGTCTGGAATGCAAGCCGTCCGTGGTAAAATATTTAAATTTTTGTCAGAAAACCAAGTTTTTGTTGGCTTCGAGGCTGGATGGAAGCGTTATCCTGGTGAAAAATTATATCCTTGTCCTCTTTTTAATCAAAATCTATTATTAAAACGACTGCTAGTAATTCATTATACATTTCAGAATCCATTTTAGTAGACACATAACAACGTGGAACCTTGCACATGTTTTTTTTACATTTTCGTGTATGTTACAACTACATAGTTTGGTCCATACAAAAACAACATATTCTCGTCAGAAAATATGATCATTTACAATTTATTTGTCCAAGCCACTAATTTCACTTGTAATCGTTCGTTAAACGTAGCTCGGTATATTAACTTATTTAAAAAGTAAACTTTAACTACCGTGAAATGGTACGTATTGTAACAGATACCTAAAAAAATCCTTCCTTGTTGAAATATCGATTAGCTGGTTTCTTTCGAATTCGTCCTTTATCTCTTAAAGTATAATTGGAATTGTCCTTTGTTGATGGTTTTTTAGAACCTTAACCTAATCACAAGCTCTGAATGATTTATTAATTTTTGTATTATAATATCCACATTTCCTCATAGAATTGATGATATTTATCTCCGTACCATATAAAAGCTTAACCGAACCCATTTACGTCAAAAATGTGAATATTTTATTACTTTTTTATTTTTCTTTTTTGAATTACTCCCTGACAAGCGGCTTACTAATATTTTTATCCATTCTCAAGTCTAAGTTTGTTTTATTACGCCATATTTTTATTTCAAAATGAACTGCGCTCAAACAAATGTCCTGGCAAAAAAAGGCAAAATATATCTTATTTTACTTATTTCATAATGTGTATGAGAAATGTTTTTGGTATGTTTTTAAGGGATTATTTATACTCTTTCGAGTCGAGCTTAATGATCTAAGGCCGTACAAATTCAAATAACAAACATTTTTGGTTTGTATTTAATATTCGATACCTTAAATAAATTCATTATTTTGTTTTTGCAAAATAGTCAGGCTGAATCCCAGTTTGTTGTTTTTATAAAAAAACAACTATTTATTAGTGGGGAATGTATGGCATTGTTTGCCGAGGGGTAAGGCAGGGAAGACTATAGTTTCGGATCACGCCACTGATCCTCATCAGTTCCCTTAGTTTTTTGTTGGGATATTCTCCCCAGAAGCTATTGCTTCTATACAAAAAACCTTTCATACCCAAATGTCTCTTGTAACAAAGCGAAGTACTTAGCTGACCAACGACATAAACTGCATGAGAATTTCGTTGGAGCCTCACTTCGAGGTTAACAAAGCATTTACAAACAATACCACACCTTTCCCACTGTTGTGTGTTGTCACATCGCGACAAATGCACACAACGACTTTGTTGGTGTTGCTAGTATACAGCAACAAACCAAACAGTTCAACCGTGCCTGCGTCTACAACTTCAGTAGTGTTGGCGGTTTATTTGGGATACCATTTGTATTTTGTTTTTGCAAAATAGTCAGGCTGAATCCCAGTTTGTTGTTTTTATAAAAAAACA